TGATGGGTGATGGGAGAGAGAGGGGGGGTGCGGAAGAGGACTTGAGGAAGTGGGGCAATTTGACTTACGGGACAGCAGAGGGCGCGAGGTTCTCTGCAGCTGGCTTTTGCCGCACCAGTCGGGCGTTCGGCCCCACGACTGGGTCGGTTGGTCGGCGGTAGGGGGCGCGAGATACCAGCCCAAGCGTACTCGAGGACAGACGACTTGGAACGGGCGGAGATGCGGGAGCTCCCAGTACCCGTTTTCGACGTAAGTGGGACTCACTATGTACGACTGATGCAGGATGTGTAGATAAGGCCACTGAGGGCGGGAGGCTGTTACTGCAGCAGCACCCGCGCGTACGTGGTGTCCTGGATTCTCATACGAGCAAGTAGCGGGTCATCGCACCTCAAGAGGCTAACAGAGAGGGCGCCTCCAGTAGCAGGGAGGAAATCCTCGCGCACGTCGGACGAAGAGAGACCGTATGGTGTCTGTACGAGCGCGCTTTGCGGAGCAGACCAGTTGAAGAGTAGAGCAACCGAGATTTCGACGAAGTGATTGCAGGCGAACAGGGCTATGATTGGACCGTACGATGCGCGAGGAAGAAGAGACTTGCTGTGCGTTTCCTGCGGGTGGGACGCGTTGTGGCAATTCCCCGACTCCCACGCTAGTCGGGAGGAGGGGTCTGTCGGGAAGAATCCTTATACAGTGCCTTGCATAAGAAACTGAACATCGCGTTTCCCCGCGCGTTGTTTGCTCGCGCCAAATATACCCTTTTCGGGTAGGTCCGGAAGGCCTCTCGCGGGACCGTTTGTTGGGCAGGGACTCGCAGACGCCCCGAGACGGCTCGAAAGGCTTCAGAGAATAGAGCATATTCGCTGTGGTAATTACCACAGCGTGGGGCCAATGGGGTGGCTTAAATCCATCAAAATTCCCTTACTTGGGAGCTCCACCCGTAGTAATTACCACACCGAATATGCTCTAATGCATGAAATGTATATTCTACTACTACACTAAGGGCTGTAAATCATTATACTCTGCCCCCACCTGTATGCCTAGCTACCCTCCCTCTCGATGGGTCTTTGCCGCACATTTGCTGATACCCGAAAAGGGTATATTTGGCGCGGACAAACAACGCGCGCGGAAATGCGATGTTCAGTTTCTTATGCAAGGCACTGTAAGTATTTGACAGTACATGTAGTTCGGTCTTTTGCTTAGTAATACGCTTCCGTAATCCTGGATAATCGCATTCTATTGGCTAATGCATCTACATTTGCCTCATTTGGAGAACAAACTTCGCCTCGATGTCCTGGCCGAGGGTGGCGGCGCGCAGTCGCCGCCACCCGAGAGTCAGGACAAGGGGCGCAGTGGCGGGGGG